ATTTGCGAGGTTGACGGAACGCCGATAAGCAACTCACACAGGCGCACGAACCGCTGGGCTGAACACTTCCGCACTCAATTCAGCCGGGCTCCTCCGCCGGCGAGCCTAATGAGTATACCTAGTTGCGCGCCTTGGAACATCTCATTGGAATTACCCACTGAAGTTGAGGTCTGCCTTGAGCTCCGACACTTGAAGCGATTCAAGTCTGCTGGCCCAGACGGACTTCCTCAGGAGCTGTTCAAGTTCGGGGGCGAAGTAATTGTCAACCATCTAACTGCTTTGCTCTCTAAGATCAGGTGTGAAGAAACAGCTACATCCGCTTAGGGTGAGTCAATTGTCGTCCCGATCTTCAAGAAAGGTGCCCTCACCTTATGCGCTAACCACCGAGGAATCTGTCAAATGTCCGTTGCCGTCAAGCTGTTAACATCGATTATACTCTACAGACTAATCCCGATTTGAGAATTACGCTCACCTAAAGAACAGGCTTGTTTCCGCCTCGATGGAAGGCCTGCAGACCACTTGTTTACGCTCTGCAAACTCGTTGAAACGAGCCCTCTTTACCGCCAGCCCACTATCTTGTATTTTCGCACATCCGAGCCGCTTTCGACTCCGTCGATCGACCAGCTTCATGGCGTTGTTTACAAAGGAATGGAGTACCCGAAAGGTATATTGCCATCCTTTGAGCGTTATATTGCAGTGTCTCAGGTAAAGTGGGGGCTTATTGTAAGCTCCGTTCACTTTTGCCGTCACTAGCCATGTACGACAGGTTTGCCCCATGTTCCCGTTTCTCTTCAATTTTGCGTTCGAGGATGTCTTTTTAAACGCTCTTGAGGGCTTTCAAGGTACTTGTGTAGAGCTTCTTCTTGGCAACCGCGTGACCGATTTAGATTATGCTGCTGAGATTGCCTTGCTTATTGATGACGCATGCATGGAACACACGGGCCGATCTAAACCGGTTGGCAATTAAAGCAGCAAACTATGGAATGAGCTTTGCCCCTACGAAATGCAAAGTCTTGGTCCTGGATTGGCATCCACCTGCACCAGTGCTCACTCTTCAAGGCACGCAGGTTGAAGAAGTGGACAATTTTGTTTACCTGGGAAGCTGAGTCTCTGCTGATGGTAGCATTGGAAAAGAGATTTCCCTTCGCATTGCCAAAGCCCGTTCGGCATTCGCCAACTTGAGGCATCTGTGGCGACGCCGTTTCACTAATGGTAAAGGGCAGGATCTACTCTACATGTGTTCGCGCGATGCTGCTGTATGGGAGTGAGTCCTGACCGATTCGTGGGAATGACGCGTCGGATTTTGGCCTTTGAGACTGGTTGTCTGCGGAGAAAAGCTCAAGTGCGGTGGATGAACCACGTGCGCAACGATGATGTTAGACGTCGCGTCTGGGGTAACATGGGACTTCCACGTGACAGACTGGTATCACTGTACCAAATGAAATGGCTGGGCCATGTTTTACGCATTCAATGCGAACTGCTGCCCCGACGCTCTCTCTTAGCTCGCACAGGACCAGACTGGATGAAATCGCACGGTGGTCAGCCTATCAAGTGGTGACATACGATTAAAGCATTGACCTCTAGTTTAGCTGTCGTAGGTCCCGTGATCAAATATGAAGAACACCGCTGATTGGAAAGTCTTTCGGAAATGGCGCAGAACCGATTTTAATGGAAAATGTGTATGAATATTTACCTTGATCTTCCTGATGTGGTCGCAAACATTGAACAGACAAGAAAAGCTAAAACAGCACGTGAAAAAAGCAAAGGAAGACAAGATTCAAAAACCAAAATACGTTTTGTAAATTTCATTCTTCTTTTTGTGGTCTCTGTTTTTCCTATTTCCGTTTCATGAGTTTTGCTGGCACTATGTCTATCTTATAGATTGCTGAAAAAATATATATAGTTCATTAAGACAGTAAGAATCGTATAAGCTATAAGAGAAGGCGTATGTTTGTTGGCACATGGGTTGCTATGTTGTGATCCTATCTCCGGGCAGAGATGGCTGGGTTCGATGCTAATGAGATGTTGCGCACATCACAGTTACTGAGTGTGCTCGGTGGCTAAGGCATTGGCATGAACAAAGCTCAGGAGGCGGACTGTTGAATTGAGGAGACTCCGGGAGATAGCATATTGAGACTGGGGTGGGTCCAGGGGAAACTATGCGGGAATATTTTAGCCGCGTTCCCACTGAGGACAAATCCGTCGTGATCTGCGCGGATGTGTTGACCCTTGTTGGCAATTTCTGTAGGGAAAGCTCCTATCTGAACTGAGTAGTTTGACTCTCTGCATAGCGACCGTGATTTTCGATCCAGGTAGTGTACTGTTACCGGTGAAACCCGAGTGAGATTGGCAGGGCTGTGCCAGCCCTGTAGCATAGTGCCTTACCTGTCAGAATTTCGGTCGCGTCTAGACAGCAGCTTTGAACCTCTACGCTAATTCCATCGTCTACTCTCTTGTCCATCTCGTTTATTCTTTCAACAGTTGCAGCCGCGAAAGATTTACAAGCTCTAAAAAGACGCATGGCCAAATACGGTTGGCATGATCATGACTGCGATGGAATTCCAGACGACTTGGATCCAGACGATGACAATGATGGATTCTTCGATAACAAACAGGTGGGTGTCGCGAGTTTCACTCATTCAGTCGTAAGTAATAATGCGCCATTTTTGTTATACCAACAAGGGAGATGTTCTCACCACTTCCGACAGCTCCCTTAACACTCCACGTGCCCTCGCATTCCGCCTCCGATTTCCACGTGTCGTTTTCCCGAGATCTATTCACGATTTTACTTCTTCTCTTCTCATTTTTTATTGCACAATCCGTAGCTTGCTTCCACCAGTTGCGTGTGATGTCTGGCTAACTCTTCTAAGCATATGTAAGATGTTTGACTCCTGCCTCTACCTGGACCTCTAAAACATGAAGTTAGGCCAATTGTCCTATATCTATCCCCAGAAACTGAAAGTAGCAAGGCAATCACCACGCTGCAGTTTCATGAATGAGTAGGGTACATGTCAATTTATCTCAACATGGGTAAAGAACTAGCTGTGATTCTCGCTCAAGATCACCAGTGATTGCTCTCCCAGTTGTATGCTGCACACTACTGAATACTGTATTGTGAAAGCAAGTAGAAAGTTAAATTCGTACAAGTCCATTAGAACATAAGCAAAAGTGTTAGCATAATTATCTGTCATTTGGGACTGTCTGTTGAGAAAAGGTGTGCCTGATAAATATGTAAACATTATCAAAGCGCTGTACGCGCATAATTCGGGCAGGGTGAGGGTTTATGGCAAACTGTCGCCACCCTTCAGTTTCACCAGCGGTGTGAGACAAGGATGCTCGCTGTCACCTTTCCTCTTCAACTTCGCTATTCATGAAGTCATGGAAACAGCGTTCACTGGACACGACCTAGAAGGTGTGGAGCTACTTCCTGGTGAGCGACTTCTTGACTTGGAGTATGCGGACGATACTGCCCTAATCTGTGACAGCTCCCAAACATGCCAAATAGCACTGGACCGATTAGCACTGGCTGTCAATCGTTTTGGGCTATGCTTTTTGCTCCATCGAAATGCAAAGTACTTCTCCAAGATTGGCAGGGACCCAACCCTGCGCTAACGCTTGGTGGTGATCTGCTAGAAGTCGTCCAGGAATTCAAGTACCTGGACAGCTCTATTAGCACCCGTGGGATTGAAGATGAGGTTACGAACCGTATAGCAGAAGCTCGAGGTGCTTTCGTCAATCTCCTCCACCTGTGGCGCAGACGCGACATTACTCTCGCCCTGAAGGGCAGAGTTTATAATGCAGCGGTCCGTTCAGCTCTCCTATATAGCTGTGAAACCTGGCCCATCAGGTCGACAGACATTAAGAGGATCGTCATATTCGATTATCGCTGCCTTCGCAGCTTATCTCATGTCTGGTGGGGGCACTGCGTGAGCAATGAGTGTGTTCGACGTCGTGTATTTGGTGCAGGAAGATCAAGTGAACCGCTCAGCACCATTATATCACGCACCAGGCTCCGATGGCTGAGCCACGTGTTGCGCATGCCAGCACACCGACTCCCGCGACGTGCATTGTTTGCGCGTTGTGGGTGCGGTTGGAAGAGGAGGAGGGGAGGCCAAGTGATGACTTGGTCGAGAGAAAGGAAAACCCTCACTTTGAAGTTGGCGTCGGTTGGTGCATCCCGACTGCCTGGCTGGGGTCCTAAGGACGGTGTACATGTTTGGTTGGACACACTTGCTGATATGGCTTGGAGCCGGCCCCAATGGCATTTGTGTTGTGAGTTCCTTTGTCTATCACCCTTCAGCTTAGCATCCCACTCCAATCACGATCTCAATTGTTAGGCATAATATGGCTCTTTTTCCGCATGAGAGCCAGCTGTTAGCTCTCCGGAACGATGTCCAATCGTTACTGGAGACTCAGTAGGCGTGCTAATGTTTGTTTTCCTTTTCTTGTCTTTTGTATTGCGGCACAATAGCTGAGGTGTTTTCCACCTCCAGCTAACGTGTAATGATGATGATGATGAATTATCTGTCACCTGTTACTCAACTCGTTCTGCAACTTCTTATGTAACCCATACACATAACGGGATCACAATATCCCAGAGCCCATAAGTGGAGATGTGATTATCAGTGATAAAATGTAACTCCAGCCAACGTTCGTATTTCGGCTCAGATTTGTCCCTCAAAACAGGTTTTGGCAGACTGTTCCACAAACTTACCACTTTCCGTTTGAAAGACAATGGGTAGGTATTCGCCTTATATCCTGCACCAAATGGTTATGCCCGTGTCCGGATGGTTTGCATGGCGTTTGCAAGTGAAACAGTGGCCTCAACAAAGAGAAATCACTGAAACGTAAGATGCTGTAGGTTACGATGAGATCGAGTCACGCCCAGGGATAGGATAAGGTGCATAATTCTAGTTTCTTCATTCGGTAATCCTCGTAGACCCGGAATGAGCCTGCCATCGACATGTCGGACCAGTACGAACTTCTGTGCGTCGCCTCGGGTGATTGAGCGGTGGGCAATGGGCCATAAGATAGCATTGGTCTTATAATGGAAAAGATGAGGCGAATAACGACCACTTCAGATCAAGTACAGAAGCTGCATTTGAGCGCTCAAAACATGCTCAATATGTTGTGATATATCCTGCTCGCGTTTTCAACGGGTTTCAAATCGTAACGCGAGAATACACATTGCTCCTTCACAGAAGACGTGGGATGTGGCGTTTGGCCCTGTCCAAGCTCGTGAACAACGACCAGGAAGCTGAATTCCGCAGACAACTTGGAAATGGGTTGAGGTCTTGCTAAACTAGGCCACAGTCATCGCAGGTGCTAATCCTCTCAAACTCTTCAGGTCCTCCGCAGATAGGGCAGGTAGCGATCGAAGAAGGTGTGATAGCTCGTTGATCTGTTTCAAGAACATAGTGGGCGCTGTGGGTACCGTGCCTTGGGGGTACTCCATTAGCAGAGCGATACCAGTCAGTTAGATGGCTATTGACCTCTATCCTCCACTTTCGTCCAACGAGGTGGTCCCGGAGATACTGGTGCAATGATCCACCAACGCCACACACTCTCAGCTTGTGGGAGAGGACCCATGATTTAACTTGTCGAACGCTTTGCTGAAGGCGATGTAGATTTCTTCGACAAATTTCTGGTGCACTATTTGCAAACATTCATGTCTCGTCACCGGTAGGTTGGTTATGCATGAGCGACCTAGCATAAAACCGTGCTGTGCGAGTGGCAGTAGATATTTGATTAGGACAGCTGTAGCAGACTCTTCCTCACGCACTTTTTGGTAACCTTGACCAAGATAGGTACCAGAAAATTTGGCCTTCAGTTGCCCTCTTCGTTGGGGCATAGCGACAGCACATGGAGGCGCGAAAATATGGACGCATTTGGATGCGCGCCAATTTATGACAGGTTCTAGCACATCAGTCCGTAGCGCGCGAGCCATAAACATTTCGCTGATTTTACGCTGGCATGTGATAACAGATGAGTACCGCCGTTTTGTGGGTGCGTGTGGGCAGCAAAAACGTTGACAAATCTGGGGAACTTTGGATTAATAATTTTCTTAACATGAGTAGCATGCGATGAGGGAATTGGGTCGGTGTCCCCTTGGCTATATCACTACAACTACTCAGATGCATCTGGCTACACCGTGGCGTCGGACGACACCTGCTATAAAATTACGCAGTGGATATAGCCAGCTTTCTCTCGGAGATTATTACATCACGGAGGACAGCAGGGAGTAAGATTGCCATTTCAATTTTGTGACCCTTCTTTGCAAATAGACTCAGTCAGACGGCCACCGCACATCCAGTACAATGCTAGACGGCCATTCCTTCCTATTGGGATGTGTCAGTAGTACACATCCGCTGGGTCCTTCAGGATCCAAACCAATGACCCCACTCCCATGAGTCAATGACTAATGCCAATTCTCATGGGTGACAGCGACGAACGGCCATCATTGATTTCTAAGTGTGATATAGCGTGACTCATCCACCGCAGGTATCCTTGTTATGAAGGTGCAGATGACAAGGCTGGCCCCCGCAACTACGGCTACCTCTAGAAGCCGCCATTAATGATGGTTGCATGTAAGCTATTAAGACGATTAGTGCTTATTAGAGAGTTATATGGGTTTAATATGTCATCAGGATGACAAGAGGCGTAGCCTTACTGCGATAGGGCGACACATGAATTCGTATTATCCCAGTACGGCATCAATTTCCCCAAACACCAGGGTGTATTTAAGCTCCCGGACAGTTGGAGGTCCCTGTGTCATGCTGTGTTGAATGAGTAGTTGGCACCTTTCCCACGCAACTCATTCTTTCAGCCGATTCGTATAGTTGGGCTGTGTAACCCAGTTCCATAGCTACCGAGTATCATGAAGGTAAGTGCGGGACGAGATCTCTACAAACGTGAATCGGTCCAGGAGTGTGCGCACGCGCGATAACTGGGGAGGTAACGCGTGAGATAGGCGGATATAAGGAGGCTTGAAGTGTACTTGGGATTTAGAAAGTAGGTGTTGCCCGCACAAAAGCACAACACCCCGCTACGCGTCTCGACCTCGTTTGATCTCATCAAGTAGATAGCAGACGTCGAACACGGAACCATGGGAATGCTAATTAGGCTTAACGGCATAAACCAGGCGAAACGGGAACTGATAGTCAAATGTGGATAACCTCGCATTGGAGGCAAAAGTCGGTAACTATGAGAGTCGGCTTTTTCCAGTTCCTCCCCCCGCCCCCCCCCCAATGTACACAGTAGACAAGGTGACCTTTTCCAGACTGCGGGAGGGATGTGGCAGCATTCCAAGTGGCTTGAGGACGACGCCAGCGGTTTCCCAAATCCTAACTGCTAATATGATTTGACTGGCAAATGGCTCCACACATCCGAAAAATTCGAAAATCAGTCCGCCTTTAATTTTCCTGATCGACTACAGCATGCGTTCCCTTAGTCGTCTTGCAAATTCACATCTAATACATGGAAACGCATTTCATTGTGAATTTTACTGAGGTGAAATATTGCAGAGACGACTTTTCGTTTCCCGGTAGTTTGTCATTCATGGTTCAGGAAAATTAAAACCATATCGCCCTTCCAGTTTGGATGACGTCTACCTCTACAGTTGAGACTTCTTGCCAGGGTCGTCCTATGAAAACGTGTCCGTGTAACTAAATATCTAGGGTTGGAGTATTGCTGAGCACCTTGAAGTTATGCCCTGCTTTTTCAAATCGTGTTGCAAGCTTCATTTATCAAACAATCCACTTGAATAGTCATGCCCTAATCGCAGCGTACCATATGTTACTGAACCTTAGATTGACTGCACACACCATACTGTTGGAAGTCCGACATTTTCCCTTAACAGTATGTAGTAAATACATGACACCTTAACAACTTGGCTAAACCAATCACACAAGGTAAACTTTGCGTAGTCATTAATGGATTTGCCACTTGAGAATTTGCTGTACTCCTACTTGTGCAGACAAGGATCAAAATTTTCTGTTTGATGGGGATGAGCGAAGCTCACTGGTCAGGTTGGTCTACCAGCTTCCACGGGAAAAAGTCCCCCATGATCGTTGCAGTGACAATCGAACACAATTGTCTAACCGCCTAGCAGCCATCGCTGAACTGCGGAATACCAGTTAGTAGATTGCCTGTCTATGCCACCATGCTTAGGCCGCTGAATAAGCCACCATCAGGTAGCCGCTAGCTATCACTATAGACCGCTTCATATGCTGGTTAGTATGTCTGTTCGCATTGGTTACTTCTTAAGCTTCGGATCATGTGGTAGCTAGGATCTCCTCCTTAGACAGGCATCACAAATTTTGCATTGGACGGTTTCAGTTTGGACACCAGTCATCGAGGTTTCCTTCAGATAGACATCAAAATAAAACAGAAGATGGCGCTCGACCACTGTCATTGGACTGTCTGTCGCTTATGCTGGGGGATTCTAACCGGTGTCCCACTGGTTAACGTCCCATGGCCAATGAGAGTGTCAACGACGCCAAAACAGCGTTCTTAGCCTCGCTTACTTGAAAGTACTACACGCGATTTCGAAAATGTGCCACTCTAAAAGCTTGGTACAATGCACTAACGTGCGTGTAAAATGGTATAGTGATCGTGGCGGTAGCTGCCAACCACCATGTGCCCAGCTCCACTCCCAACAAACTATCTCTATCTGATGAGTCTAGACCAAGACGAAACCGTCGGTCGTGTAATAAAGAAATTTGAGGGAGCAAACAGAAAATCTCAACTTTGCGTTGTAACAATGTTGTACGACCACGAAATGCACCTATTTCAGATGCAGTCCCAGTGAATGCAAAATTGAGGCTAAGTTCAACGTATATCATTATGCGAACTACCTGTGTATCTTAATTCAAGCACCCGGCAGACACTCCAATTTCACCAACGAACCCCTAAGCATGTCGAGGTTAGTCACTAGTTCCCGCGTTCTACTCAACATACAAACGAACTATCGGCTGAACTCAATTAAGTGAGGTCCATCGCAACCAGTTTCCAAATCAGATAGTCGTCCACATGCCCGGAAAAGCACTAGACTGCAGTTTCAGCCTGTTGGGCATCGTCAGTAGTGCGCATCCATCGGATCCGTCAGGATTCGAACCCATGACCACCAGCGGCTTGAACCGCCAGTCAGCAGCTTATGCCACTGGGCCACGGGGGACAGCTTCGGACCGTCATGATTTACAAGCTAACTGCGAAATAGCGCGTCTTATCCTCCACTGCCATGCAAGTAACAGTAGCTATGTACGATATAGCATTTAGAAACTGTCAGGGCGGAGATAATTTGATGTACTGTTAGTGGACGTCGTGTCTTTCGGGGCCAACCCTGTCCTCTGCAACGTTCGTAACTTGCATGGTAGTGGAGGATAAGACGCGCTATTTCGCAGTTAGCTTGTACATCTTGACGGTCCGAAGCTGTCCCCCGTGGCCCAGTGGCATAAGCTGCTGACTGGCGGTTCAAGCCGCTGGTGGTCATGGGTTCGAATCCTGACGGATCCGATGGATGCGCACTACTGACGATGCCCAACAGGCTGAAACTGCAGTCTAGTGCTTTTCCGGGCATGTGGACGACTATCTGATTTGGAAACTGGTTGCGATGGACCTCACTTAATTACATCAAAATCCCCTACTCATGAGTACATGAACTCAATTAATTGTAAGTCCGGTCGTTGAGCGCCACTCCGGAGGTTAATAAAAGCCAGGACGCCAACACAGACGAAGCGTTGCTCAAACTGAGGAGAAAGTAAAGTTTTATATTCCGGTTATCGGGGGAAACCATGTAGTCTACATCCATTATTTCCGCAATGTACTCGAAAGTCCATTAATCTTAGCATATGTCAGGGATCGATATTTGAGGTGAATTTTGCATTTCAATCGACGACGGTCTTGTTGAAGGAGAATAAAACATACAACAGTCATCTAGAGGTGGAACAAAACCGGGGTATGACCTGTTACTGACATTTTAAAGTGGCTACCAGTTGCCTCAGAGCCATCGACCATAATTGACTGGATTTCCGTTTTCGAAGAAATTACTTAACCAGACTCAGATTGTTAACACACTCCCAATTGCAATCAGATTTCTATCAAGATGGAAGAAGTAGAGTATGAAGCGTTAGTTGACAATCTGAGTTTTCTGATAGATTAAGCTTGCACGGATCCAAGCTCGCAGCTCAAAGCCATTCGAAAAGTTTAGCTAGTGTATAACGATGGTCAACTTCCGAAAAGAGTTGATATGAAGTTCATGGGGTAGATGACCCCATACGTCGCGTGCCTGGAGACAGCTAGTACAGGAACAATACGTTCACGGTTGGGAATTAGCTCAATCCATAGGATCGGAGACCGGCGCTTGTCGAAAGCTATCGCACGTCACTTGACCGGGCGTCTGAGGATGCGGCAATCATGAGCGCACTGGAGGGTGAATCAAGTTTCGATCGTAATCTGTTGATCTCTAGATCATCACCCATCAACGGTGCTCAGGGCAAAAGATTTGTGACCTTCTGTGCCATCTAAATACTGTGCCGTTTTGAGTCAATCAGATTCTTGATGGAGGCACGGCTATACATCGCAGTAGGGTTGGGCCAATGTAACCATTTCAACCATACAATTCAAACACTTTCAGATGATCTTTTCTTTAGTCAGCCGGAAACTTCAGGCAAGAAAACTTGATCGATCCCTATAGGGATCTCGCAGACGTTCTGTACAACAACTAAAGGCCGAATTTTGCAGCTAGGAACAAGGTGGTAAACTGTCGGTGATGCTAACATGACCACATCTACTTTAGTGTCATCTTCAAGCATAAGCTGCCTTTCTCCACGATCTAACGGCCACAAAAATTATGAGATTGTTGGACATTGGAGGCACCATTACGCCAGCAGCCAGCAGTTCACCTTAGGAGTGCCCAGATGTCTTTTAGATGATGGAATTTTCTTTGCCACAGTGTCATTAGTTTCAGAAGCGAAATACAACATCTCCATATCACAGTGTTTATTTCGAGCCCACGTCAGTATGAGACATATTACATCAGGAGTAACGTTAATCTACCCTTACCGTTGTATCGCTTTTCCAGTTCTCGCTTTGGCTAGTGGACGCTTACCTTTACGCCTCCATATGCCTTTCGTTTACAGGACAGCGATCGGGACGGAATTCTCAATGAATGGGATGATGATGACGACAACGATGGAATCCCTGACAGGGATGATCCCGACTCAAATGGGGACGGTATCCCTGATTGTGTAATGAAGGTTTGTACCTAAGTTATCATGACTGCATATACGAATGGTGGCTGCATAGTTCTGAACCTAAAGTACCAACTCAGGACTCATATTTGAGTGTTGTTTTTCCCCCTTATTCGGCTGATCAGCAACACATTGCACTAGCGGTTCTGGGTGTCTCTGGCCCAGTAGACAAAAACCAATCATGTCTTAACCCTAAGAACTCCTCAGTGGTATGAATAACCTTATCGTCATGGAGAACACGAAACAGCTAAAGTGTTTTTCTACTTGGTAAAATGTTTGAGGCGGGTCTGGTAAACAGGATGGATGCGGAATAATTAGGCAAGTATTGTTGCTACGGTAACTGCTCATCCTTGGAATGGAGCATTGTCACAGTGGAAGAGAACATTTTGTCAGCATTACTGATAATTCTACTCATTTGTTTGTCGGAGACGTTTAGCAAGTTGAGGGTCATTTTGAAGTACATATTGTGTGTGCCTGCATTGTTTTCGAGCGGGCAACACCCAATTTCTAATTGCAACAGCTGTTTTTAGCAGGTCCTCATAATATTTTCCAGCGGTTATGTGACCTCAACACGATCTCTTGAGTATCTCAAACACTGATTATGTCACCGTACCGCTTGAGGGAATGCCGATCTTCGGGGTCGGAAAGATGGCATGCTTCCGCTACTCAAAATATTCCTTAGTTTTTGTCTGATATTGGAAGACCCTGTGCCAATTCATAATTATGAGTCGAGCAGGAAAGTTGCTCACATTGAGTTCAAACCATCCTGCATTGTTTATCGACGTGTTTTTCAGGCTGAGGCTCAGCTTGAAAGTCAGAACATAAAAGACCAATCTAGCAGAAACGTTTGTGTTTGATCTGCTTGCTTCTGTGATGTGCCCAAACTGTCCTCCACTCGACGTGTTGACAACTGAGGGGATTGTTTGGCTTCGTCCCCAACACGGCAAAGGTTTTCTCTTGTGGTGGCAGCCGTTAGTCTCTCTGACCTCTGGTCATTTTCAACTATCAGTTGCAAAGCTTCACGTCTTACTTTATCATAAGAGTATAAAGATAATGAGCCATGAACACCAGTTATTGGTTTTCTGTGTTGGGTTTACAAAGTTTTCCTCAACCTTAGTGTACACTTTTTAGTTGACACAGTGAAACATCAGTATGACAAAATTTAGAAGACCACAGAAAGTAGTTTACCACAGTTAAAATTTGTGACATCAAAATAATTCAATACAGAAAGTAGAGGCTAAACAGTAAGAGATCTACTGTAATATCGAAGCAAATTTGTTAACCCAGTGGTTGGAATGTTAACTGAGCTCAGCACTTTTGCCCCAAACGTCACGTCACTACTCGAGGTGCGCTTCTGTACATGAGAGAGCACTGACGATATCAACTCGGACGTTGATTAAACGTTTATAGCGAAACTGCCAAGATCAATGAACAATCAGGCCACAAGGTTTTCCTTGTCTTTTCAGCATACAAAATGATATATTGTACCGGCACACAATGAGCAAGACTTTAATTTTTAATTTCCACTTTTCCTCTGAAATGTTCTAACATGGGGTCTCAAAAATCCCATATTCTGAGCATTTCATAACGTTGACGTTCGTTGCAGCGACACTTCATGATATACGGATGGGTTATTTGCTGGGGACACTAATAGAAATGCATGTGCCTAAATCAGATTTCCTATGGTACATATGTAACGGCTACTGAAAGTCAGGTCCTCATTCAAGTAAACGGTTCCAACTTGATTACTTCTCGCGGTTTTGACAAGCCAAAGAGGCTAAACGCATGCCAGAATGCCTAACATTGTTCGATGCTCTGCGTCTCCGGACTCACACATATCGCATGTTTTTCCCACATAGGACACCGATGGCGATGGAATTCCTGATCACATAGATACAGATGATGACAACGATGGAATTCCTGATCTACACGACCCCGATCATCCCACTTACAATTATTTCAAGGACTCGGACAAAGTAAGTTTACTTACATTGAACTACCTGCTAGTTTTGGGTGCTGTCGCCTAGATGTCTTGCGGGCAATCGACCTTCAGAATGCCACCGACTTTCGGAATAGCACTGTATGCGCCTTTCATCCTTTCGGGAATCGTCAGCAGTGTACATTCTATCGGACCCTGGTAGGGCTCGAAACCGCAACTCGACTGTTGCCAGTCCGTGGTTGAGACCACTGAGCCACGGGGGACAGTAACAATCATGGTTAACAAGTTACTACACGTGAGCGGCGCTATATCACATTTATTAACTTATTTACCATGGTCGTTACCGTCCCCCGTAGCCCAGTGGTCTCAACCACGGACGGGCAACAGTCGAGTTGCGGGTTCGAGCCCTGCCAGGGTCCGATGGAATTTGCACTGCTGAGGATTCCCGAAAGGATACAACGCGCGTACAGTGCTTTTCCGGGTGCGTGGCGGCTGTCTGAGTGAGTCTAGAGGTGACGAATTTCTGCCTATACCATTCAATTCCCAATACTACTCCTCTGTATTATATATATATATATATATATATATATATATATATATCACTTACCCCTTGCTGAGGCTGCTGTTGCATTCATGCTTCTTCACTGCAGTTGGGCTAAACCAAGTTACACTTAAACTAGGTCGTTTTAAGGTGGATAATATTCATTACATTTTAGTTGGTTTGTTCTGCGTACTTGGCAATCTTCTCGCAACTTGTACACGTCGCTCATGCAAATTGTGGTAAACTTGCGTAATTTTATCGCGTAGTATCTTTTAAATAACTTTTGGACATTTTGTACTTATCGCGTATTCACATTTAACCAATTTCTTCCATATGCTCATTTAACGAGTATTTATGTCGTCATATGCGTTCACTTTATTCGATATCGGCATTTCGAATGATTGGCTGTTGTTTGACGTCCCAGGTGTGGCTGCGCTTGATGTGCATGTTGACAAGGTGCTTACCTGTCTATTACCCACCACCTCGTCCATACTGGCTCCAGGAGACAGTTGGTCGTTGCTGGAGGGGACGGGGTGCACGGTCCTTGTGGCCGTGCTAGGCTTGAAGAGTGGTTCCATGCACTCAGTGTGGAGCGGACTACTGTTGAGCCACCGCCTTGTGTGCGCTTGATTCCCAAATACAGCGTGCTTGTGTTTGTCTGTGAAGGAGTGCGGGCCGGCTCTGTTGATGAAGCGTGGCTCCCATCCGCATGCCCCCCCGGTCTTATTCCTTCGGGTTTACACTGGATATGGGGTGTGTGGATGGAGCTGTGGGTGGTGCAGCACAAGCCATCCCTGTTTCCTCTGTAGGCGCAAGCCTTTCTGTGGATGTCCACAGTGACACGCAAATCCGAAACCCGATGCCGCCAAGCATACCACTTCTATTCACTATCCGCATTCGTTGAAAATGTTATTTGGACATACGGGACTAAGTGCACTCTAGAGATAGCATGGTTAATATTCCAAGAAATAGTCAGGCAATTAATCACGAAAGCATTAGATCCAAAAGCTTCCAATCAAACCGAAATCTTTTTCAGAAGCCAAACACGATCGGATATGTCGCTTTCATAAACGAAATTTTAGCTGAGAAAACTAGACAGCGCACGTAGTACGGTGCAGCTACTTTATACAGCTGGTTCGTGATGACAAGTTGACACACCAACAGGAACTAACGAAATGATTCTGCTCGAACCACAAGTTTCTTTACAAACACCACATTAGACTTCGCGAGGTGCAGTGCAGAATCCCACCACTTACTACCGTTGGTGGGTTCACATTTACGGCAAACAATTTACGGGTCCATTACCCACTTACTTCAAGCCTCAAACGCTATTCCTGTTTCTATCACTCCGGCATGGAGTTTAATCAGCGTTCCCTTCCCTGCAGAAACGCTGCTGAGAAAGCTGCGGTTTTTGCGCACACCGCTTTTCTGAGGTGGATAACATTGATCAAAAGCAGTCCAGGTGGCAATCATGCACCTAGCCGAATCACTAGCTGGAGCCTTTCAGCGTTGTTTAGAGGAACATAGTTCCGTCAAAGTGATAATGGCGTATTCGAACCCCAATTCGCAAAGAAATCGAGATGAACGTTCTAATTACCGCCTGGTAACGCTTCTCCCTGTTTTCGGCAAACCATGAAAGCGATCATTGCAGACGCACCGCCCGGTCACCTGGATAGGTACGGCATTATTGCTCCACGGCAACACGGTTTTCGTTAACAGCAGTCATTCAACGCAAATCTGCTGATAGCACGCGACAATTAGACCGAAATTGTCGACGAAGGAACCGGAACCGATGTTCTCCACTTGGACTTCTTAAAGCGTTCGAGTTCTTAAATCAACGTTAAAGCATCAACGATCCAATATTAGGGTGGATCGGTAACTTTCTCTTTGAAGGGCTATTGGTGGTAATGGCGGTTGAACTCTTCGCTGAGCTTGGCTATTTTGTTGCAAACGTCTCGTCACACATCGAGGTGAGATCATCAGTGCGTAGTTACTTGGGAGGCAGTAGCGTCCACTAGCCTAGAGGAGCCTCGGTGAGAGTTCTACGCAACTACACGTCACGCAATTACGCACTGATGATGTCACCTCGATGTGTGACGAGACGTTTGCAGCAAAATTGCTAAGCTCAGAGAACGGTTCAATCGCCATCTGAACAATCTGAGCTACAAGCCTTCAGTTTTATTGGAGGTAATATCCCGAACATCTCTTTCCGACTCAATCCGAGTGAAGTGCGGTGTACCGCAAGGCGAGGTATCTGGGCCTCGCCTGTTCTTTAGTTTCATAAACGATCTAGCGAGGATGATAGTCTCAAAACGTTTGCTCTTCGCTGACGACGTTTTGATTTGGCATGATGAAGCGATCGGACGACCAGGAGATTCTCCAGCGCAACCTCGATAAGATCTGGAATCGGTCGGTGAGGAATGCGCTGCTCTTCAATGGGAACAAATACCACGTGTTCGCATCCGCTATCGACACGTCCACATCTGCAGGGTTCGGTCACACGACCGGTAGACCACCTCTCAGAAACGTGCCAGTCTGCTCCTACAGGACGACCTCGGTAGTTACAGTGTGAGTTCGTTACAAAAAGTGCTAACCAGCATGTTGGTATCATGCGGGGGTGGGGGGGGGGCGCTCGAGATCTTGGAATAATTCATCTTCTCACTTATGCATAGTGCTTATGTGTGTCCCCCCGTCGATTATGCTATCCGGGCTTGGCAAAGGACCAAAGTGTGACCTAGCAGTGGTCGAGACCCCACAACGCCGATCAGCAACATGTTAAGGGTTTGCGCCGGTTTCCGTAATAAGAACGGCTGACGTAACTTATAGCGTTCAACGGACGCTACCGTCGGCTATGTGGGGACCTCGTTTTGGTATATCAAATATTAAGTCAACCAAATCGCGTATCTCAGTTGTTGTGGAGTTCTCCGAGCTGGGCGACTTGGTTGCAAACGTTTCGCCCCCATTCGAGGTAGCATCTTCAGTGCGGGATTGATAGCAGTAAAGTAGCAGTAGCTGATATACTGCTACTTTGCTGCTATCAATCCCGCACTGAAGATGCCACCTCGAATGGGGGCGAAACGTTTGCAACCAAGTTGCACAGCTCGGAGAACTCCACAACAACTGAGCAAGCCTCCCGAGCTACCAATATTCCAAATCATTTCAAATCGCGTATGCCGCCAGCTGAGACAGCCCGAACACTAATTTGAAGAGCAATAGCTTGAGATTATGTGAACAGTACAATCGTCTAGATTGTTGACGAAGTCACGTTCCCCCTCCGGGTCTGCTAGCTCGGAAACGTCCTTCCAAACTCCGATATTTTTCCCCCACCTAAGAGATCACACTCAATTCCCTACAAGTCGTTACATGCACATATACTATGTAATGTATTCCTGCTAACTAATACATTAAATCAGTGCAGATTGGTGAGCAATTTGATTATGCTTTGCAATAAGTAGTAACCTTAATCACGTATCACCATCTCGTATGGTGTTGTCTCCTTCCCACAACCCTGCGGTGGCCCTGTCGCTTCGCCAATGCAAATGTTACTTTGTCCACTATGCCCCCATGACCCGTCGTAAATCATGGTTTCATTTGAACAGATTTGGCGTCATTGTTGCTTATTTCACCATTCAGTTATCGGTATCGTCCTGGAGGTCTCTAACAACTGAGGCGTACATGCTAACATCAGCGTTTATGTGAAATTTGCTAAAATTTTCTCATTTCATTTGACTTTCGACAATCACCTTTTGGTTCCAAACTTATCCCCACTTATTTTTCCAGCCCTACTACTCATTTGTATCCACAAGTAGTTAATAAGCTGATCGAAAAGTCCGGTGAGCTTCCGCACTCAGTTCGCCTCTCACCCAAGATATCTTGAAGTGGCATAGAGTGCGCACAAGTGCAATCATAAAGATTTGTATTTGAGATGTAAACAACATGACAAAGTGTGTTCGGCTGAAATCCGTATACGCAAGCGAGGCATTGCGAGTTACTCTACAACGATAAACAGGTGCGAACCGCTCTGTGGCCAGTCGAAGCATCGACACCATGAAATCAAACGTCTCCACAAGAAGGCGAGTTGTTTGTGCAAGTAATAATGGAGGTGTACATTAATAAATAAAGGTAACTATTCGGTACTCGTGCAAGAAGCCAAGGTGCGAACGGAGCTATTTATTGTGGCAAGTACCATTAACCCCAAGCGGCAGCTCTGACCACCAACGTTTCCACTCATTTTTGAACCCACTTTTGGAACCAGAATAGCTCTCAATGCATCTACAGCTAATCTTATGACACATACATCTGCATCTTCTAAGCGTTGTTTCGTTATTAGGGTATTGGTATGGTTTGCCGCTGACCCGCTACCGTCTGGCTTTTCGGGTACTTTAAACTACTAACTTAGTGCAGTAGTTCACGTTTTATCACACCGCACTCTGACTCCCCTAACTTCTTGTGTATGGACTGTAGGAAAGATGAACTGGATTTCCGTGCAAGCGCAA